CCACTTATGCCTGACCTGGGTCTAGCACTTGTTTTCAGCTCCATTCTGCTGCAGCCTTTGGTAGTGAGCCTGTGGTGCCCATCTTTTGTGCCCCTGTCCCAGAGAGCACTGGGGAGCACAGAAGCTCTCCCACATACTAGCTGGGACTGGTCTTGGGCTGAATCTAGGGGTCCCAAGTGAGTCGCAGCATTTCTCACTCACTCGGCTAGCTTGGGGACGGGGTCTCCGGAGGATTGTAGGGGATCTGATAGCTCAGTAGAGGGTCTCACTCATGCAGGTGCCTGAGGTTTGGTCTGGAAGTGTCCCGCGGACATAGAGAATTCAGAAGCTCTATGTACATGCTTTTTCCTTTTTCTTTTTTGTTTTTAATTCAAAAACTATAATCATGAAAAGGATAGATATTATAGTATTCAAGAAGGAGGGATAATGTCCTGTTTTCTCTTTTTTTCCTTTTTCTTCTGGGTTTTTAAAAGACAGGTTTCACTGTGAGGCCCAGATTACTGGCGTCTATCTTGGAGAATCTCCTGTCTCAGCCTCCTGAGGTGTTGTATTTCTTTTTTTCCCATAATTTTATTGAGAAACAAATATCAATGAGACAGTTTCAAACCAAATTCATAGGACAGTTTCAATAATTAACACATTGCATACATTCTTCCTAGTGGTTCATTGCTGTACAAGATGTGGATTTGATATCCTATTTACAAACACCATTAGAACAAATCCCTCTATTCATTAAGAGAATAAATCATTTTTTTAATTTTTCTTTTCTTTTTAATCTTTTTTCTTCATATTATGGAGGGACTCAATATTTAACATATCAATACTTAATGGAAAATATCTGTTCCATATTATGTCTAAGATGTTTGATGTTCAGACTGATAGTAAGGTTAAGCTCAACTGCCCATGTTTTATGGTAATAATATCATTAAGTTTCTCTTCTGGAGGGTTAACAACTTAAGTTTGTGAACCAAAAATTAAAGAAAAAAGGGCTACAAGGACAGCCAAGATTTTGGCCCTAGCCTTCCAAGATCAGTTAGGACTCAGGAAATAGGAGAACCTGTACTGTAACATGCTGTAATTCAATTGTGTCACAAATTTTCTGATCAAGGACATTATGGGGCCACAGAGGAAAGTGAGTGATGCTGTAGAGTGTGCCTAAGGAGAGTCACATGGAGAGAAAACATTCTCTCAAGCTTTCACAGAGAGAAAATTGGTCAAGCAATGGCTGTGACTCCTCCATATGGCTGACCCTAACAAATGATCTACAAATTGAGGTACAGGGTTTCAGGTTAAATCCTGAGAGAATTTCACTAAATTTATCAGATGCAAAAGTTACATTTCTTGTGATATAGGTCCTGCTCTTTCTTGGTCTTAACCATTCAACAGAAAAGTATGAAAATGAAGTACAAAAACTAAAGCCACATTAATATGATGAGTTATAAAATGCTCAAGTCAACAACTTTGGACATTGACAGTCTTATGCAAAACCCACTACTATTATGGACTACTGGACTATATTGAGATATTTTGCTGAATTCATGTACCTACAGTATTTAAATGACAGTGGAATGCCCTTCTCTAACAAAACTAACCAAAAAGGGGGATACAAATGAATGACCATTTTGTATCTGTATAGTCAAAATAACTAGGATAGATATACACCTCCATTCTCTTAATTAAATGAATAGAGAGGTTTGTTCTAATTGTGTTGAGAGAAGATATCAAGTCTGCATCTTATAAAATGAATAACCACTAAGACAACAATATGCAATGTATCAATTATTAAAAATGTACTACTAATCGGTTGTGAAACTATCTCATTGCTATTTTTATCTCAATAAAAATAGTTTTTAAAAAATGATCTGGAAAGTCGCTTCCCTGGTGAACCACTCATTTCTTCCCCAGCACAAGATAAACGTCCACGCACTCGTCCTGCAATGCTCATTCTTCCCCTGTTTGAGAGAAAAATACAGAAGAGTCCACATAAGTACTGAGTCCATATTCAGTTCACACTGAGTTCAGGAGGATCCTTGTGTTGGTTGGCTGTACGATATGAACATACTACATAAACCCATGGGAGGTTACTTTTTTTGAATTTAAAATGACACCACACCAAGAAATGGGACCCTGTGAATCCCAACCGTGCAGTAAGTAGCTCGTCCACTTGGGAAAAGCAACAGGGAAAATCATGGTGCAAAGCTCAGGATTCAGAGTTAGACGCCCACATCTGCCTCCTGGCTCCACCTGCGGCTTTAATCTCTGCGGAGTAGCCAAGAAGCAGCATCAGCATTGATTATTTACAAGTTCCCCCTTCCAAGATCTAATAATATGTCATATTTGTAACTTTATGTCAGGTTTCTGAAAGAGCATCCCAAATAGCATGAATAAAAATGGAGGGATACCCAAAATCTGGGTCAAAAGTTGACTCAATTAGTTACTGGCTCCATAACATACCTATGGCTTCTGTGTCCTATCTGTACCACACCTCTCTCTCCTCACAGGGCTGCTGTGAGGATTCTCTGACTTCCTTCGTGTAAACTGCTTCCAACAGTGCCACACACGTATGATGTGCCCCACGAGTGTCAGCTCCACGACGCCATCCTTCATGTTGTCCTTTCACGAGAACTGGCAGTGCTTTAGGCACCTTCTGCTTGCAATCCAGCTGGCAAGGCGATTACACACGTCCTTGATCTCTTCATTTGTGAGTTTTTTGCTTTTATTTTATGAAAATTTTCCTAACAAAATAATGCAGAAACAGTAATTGATACAGTACGCATCATCATCTTCAAAGGAGTTGCTCAGAGTAAAAGATATAAACCAAAAAGATGATTGACATGTGTATTGCCTGCATTGTGACAATCTTTGTCCCCGTTTTCCTCCACAAGGCCATCTCCTTCTTTGAATTTTTCAACAAAACTATTGGCATGAAAGTAGAATTATCATCAAACTTGTCATAAACTGCATTCTGAAAGTATTGAAACACGTCACTTAAAGCTCTGAAAAAGCTACTTAGATTCTATTCTGCTTTTGAAGCAGTGACCTTTTGAACAAATTCAGGCCTTGAACAAGGCATTTCTGTGCCAACTTGGAACAAACTTGCAGCATACGCATCACTGCATATTGGATTTTCCTCACACCTTCTCTTAAGCCAATCACAGTGAAAATAATCAGCATTACCTGAAGGTCTAAAGGCTACTATTATAAAAGTTACAATCTGATCTTTTAAAAAATCACCTTTACAAAATACATAGATTAGCTTACCAACAACCAGCTGCCATGTTTATCCCAGGAGACATGAAATTAACTAGCTATTAGGAAAAATGTGCGTAGTACCTAAGCATTTTGATATATTTTTCAGTGTTCTGAGAATCACAATTTCCTGATCATCAGGAAATGTTGCCTGCAATGGATTCTCTTACCTTGTTGTCCAGAGTTATGCTGGCATATATCTTATTGAAAGTGTTGCAGCACAACCCGGAAGGGTAGGTCTGTGTCTTCAAATATAGCCCTTCAAAGTGCTTTTTCAATATTTTCCCCCACTATGGACACAACTTAGAGGCTTTGACTTTGTTCCTTGGATGGTCTCAACTAGAATGTCCTTCCAATGGCAATTATTCAAGTTAGAGAATAACAACATTTATGTTTCCATTAAAAAATTACAACATGAAAAAATTTATGGAGGAGGGTCACAGTGACCAAGTCAAGATGGCACAAAAGCATTGTTCCTGAGTTACAGGAATAAAACAGAGGAGAACACATGTGACCACAGTGTAGTTGAAGTTACAAGAGAAGAAAGACAGGATATCCAGCTCTTATGGATTAGGAGGGAAGTGTAAGGGTAAAATAAACAGGAAGGGGAACTTTAAAATACACATCTAGAAGTCAGAAATATAAGCTGAGACCCTAACTCTGAATGCTGGCTATGGAACTTTATTTAGGCAACTCCTACCACAGAAATTTTCTGAATTTCCAGAAGGACCTTTCTGGATTTTTGTCATGAAAAGCACAAATATATTTCCTACTTACGGATTAAGAATGATTTTAATTTAGTGAAGATAAATAGCACCATGCTGATGAATTATCCCATCATTCCCTGAAGAGGAATTCTCTGATGGGAAATCACCTAGACATGGTTTGACTTCTGTTCTAGAACACAAAATCCATCTTACAGTGTCTTTCTCTATGCTTTTTGTCATAAGAACAATGTGAGATGTGACCACATGGTTACTTCAATATGATAACAAAGAGAGATATTGGTATCTAAATGTCTAATTTGGAAATGCCCTCTATGTAGATGAACTGTTTAGAATTCAAATGCTATCCCCCTACAATGATTACTGAGGACATTTGGAATCTTGGGCATCTGCACAATGTCCTCCTCACAGGAAGTTTAAAAGAACTCAGTGATCACAAACACCTTTACATTTCCACCCCACACTCAACTGTACCCTGCTGCAGAGGCCCCTCTCCCATCACCCATAGAAGCCTGGCTCTTCCTTACATCACAGGTACTAACCAATTTGTGACTAAAATTTTCTTTTTAGTAACATCACCTCTTGACCTTACTCTAGAGAGACCAGGCAAATGTGCCCTAGAACTGTAACATGAAATCTGCCACTGTGGCTGGCTCACTGTCTGCAGAGACACTAGCCACAGCTAAGGCTAAAAGCAGCAAGACTGATGAGCATATACTATGGCAAATGAAAAGCATATGTGTTAGCCAGATGACAATCACTTTGAGAAGCTCCAATGCTCAGAAAATAATGAAAGATGTCTCTCCTTGATTCTATCAATCTAGTTGATGGTTTGTTTGGTTTTTTTCTTATCGATAGAAAAACACAATCCAGGTCAACAAGGAAAGATTATGAGTAGGACAGTGATTGGTGATTCCCCTACTAGTCCTACCCGACAGCTCTTCCTCTTCCTTCATCTGCATATAAGACCTCTGCTGGCACCTGGGGCACCACAGTCCCTGGACATCACCTACTGAGTCCTCCAGCATGAGTCCTCTCCAGCTCCTGTTCCAGGCCAGCCCTGCCACCCTGCTCCTGCTTCTGTGCCTGCAGCTGGGGATCAGCACAGCCCAGGAAGACACGTGAGCCAGTCCTTCCCCTCCCTGCAAAAAAAACTCATGAGGGAGGGGCCGCCACCAACCTAGAAACCATCATATCCCTTCTTGGAGATTTTGAACACAAGCACCTTGTCACATGACCTCTCATGACTCACAGTGGATTCCACTTCTCTCCTCTTAAGAATCCCATCAACACCCTCACATTTCCTCTGTAGGCTTCAAGGTTACTTGCTGAATAAGTTGTGCCATACACAGAGTCTGTAATTAATAATTAGTGTTTCTCCAAGCCAGGTATGGAGACTCACACCTGTAATGACAGTACTCTGGAGTGTAAATCAGGGAAATTGCCATGAATATAAGTAAGGCGATCCCGTGCTTGAACAGTGAGTTGATAGTTTTTGATGATATGGCAAGACTCCAACTCAAAAAAAATGTACTTTTTGTCTCTTAACTACAGACCACTACCTTCAACATTTTTGTTCAGAGTTCTGCTTCATAATGTTGACTTTGTCACATGATGCTTCCTGTAAGAGCAGGTGCACAGGTCGTGAGTTGTAAGAGCTTCACGCAGCTTTAGCAGGACTCATTGGAGGAGGAGATGCCCTCGTGTCCCCACCTTAAGTCCTGAGGTTGAAGTAGTCTTCAGCACCTGAGATGGTATTTTTGCTTAAGCCAAAAGGCAAATACAAGGGCTTCTTATGCACATCTCCCCTAAGATCTGGGAGTACAAGTTCACAAGGCCGTGCACTGAGCGTCCCAGTTTGAAGGAAGCAGAAATATAGGAAAGTAAAATGAAGTAAGAAATGGAACAAAGGATTCTGAAGGAAGCAGGATGCTCAGTAAAGCTCTATACTTTTCTGTCCCACATCAGAAAAGAGAAGGGAGGCCTGGAACCATGATCACAGAGGTGCTCTCTGCAGCTGTGGCAAAGTCCTCTCCTGGAGGAAGCTGGTCAGTGTTTCATCAACCTTGTGTAAAGGACACAAACAACCTCAGAGAGCCTGTGTGGGGATAGACTCAGTCCCAGATGTTGGAAAGTAACATTTAGGCTACCATACCTTAATTATTTTTTTTTCTTTTTTGTGTTTAAATTTTTGTCAACAGGAAAAAAATGCAACTGCGTAGTTTTCACTGAAATTAAATCCACACAGAACATCCAAATCAACCAGCACATTAGTGCTTTGGGAGTCTGATGCTGAACAACTGAACGGACCCCATCATCCCTTCCCTGGCACTGTCCCCCTCCCTCCTGCCACATCTGGGTGCCCACTCTCTCCCATGGACTGCTCTCTGAACTTTGCACCCTGTCTTGCTCTTTCCAGAACCCCGCGAAGGGCAATCATACTCGATGTGGACATGCCGCAGGAAGCAAAACCAGGCGAAGAAGTCACCTTGCAGCTTACTGTTCAGACAGAATTGAGAGAATGCGTGGTGGTGAGTAGAGGCCTGGGGTGGTGGTAAGACAGATCAACATCCTTTATTATAAATGTAATATAATCAACCCTCACTATAATATTGCCCAGTATATGTAATAGAATATTCTCATATATGTCATGTTACATGAGTCCCACAACAATTATGAAAGCTTGTGGAAGTTGATTAATTTGATCTGATAGAAGAAGAAACTCCAGTCCAGGAAGGTTTAGGAATGATAGAAGAGAAAGAATGACTAGAAAGTGAAAGCAAAGGAGAAAAGATGCAAGTCCTGATAGAAAATGGGTAGGAGCTTCTTTATGGCCCTTAGCAAGATACCAGTGGCATAGGTTTAGATGGGAGGGACACTAGAAAGAACATTGCCTCCCTGTGCAGTTGATTAAAGCAGGTGGGGTAAAGGAGACAGGTGGCCTCTGGTGCACCCTGTCCCATAAACTGTAATGCGCGTGTTTTCCTCTTGCTCTTCCTCTGCTCTTTTGCTCTGTCTCCCCAGTAGCTGGCTTCTGTCTGGGGCTCCCTGGCTCCACAAATATCTTCATGTTTTCTCCCTTTTCATAACTCAGCAATTGGCATCTGTAGGTTGAATCTCTAAACTACAGTAGAGGCTTTCAAATCATGAAGCAGCTAAGACTCACCTGCTGGACCCATCCGAAAACAGAACCTAATCCAAGGGTCTAGGAGAACCAGAGCTTCTAGAGGTGTAAACAACTCCTGGGGCATGTAACAGTGCATTTCAAGAGCCCTTTCTCTGAGTAGCTTTGGGGGCTAAATTTCCCAGCAACATAGTGAGAATAAAGGACAACAGTTAAGCAGGAAACCACTGGAAGCGTAAAGACACCTCTTCACTTAAGTGCATCCTAAAAGCACCCCTGTATAATAAGAGTAAAGTGCTTAATCATTAAGCAACGACTATCCCAGCTGCTTTGTCAGTTTTCTTTTCTACCCTTTAAGTTGTCTGGTGTTGGAAGAGAAGCTAATTCATAGTTTTTCATGTGTTTTTTGTTCATTTTTATTATAACCAGGATGAAAATTTGGAAAACGTATACATGATGTCTTGGTCAGTATTTGTGATACTAATACATCTAGCTGTGACAAGTAATGGACTTACATTAGACTCTCGAAAAAAGTGATATTGCATTAAAATGGATTCAAGTCAACAAAATGTCATATACTATTACGTTCAACATTATAATATTATTATAACAATACATTCAATATAGTGAAACATTAAGAATATTTCTGTTACAATAAAATACATTAATCTTTTTAGAGCCCAACTAAGTACAGATAAAAATCTCATTGGTCTGCAAGAGTGAATTGCAGTCCAGAAAGAATTTCTGTAAGTGGGAATTTTGCTAACATTTTTCAATAAAAACTTTTTATTTGTAGCTTTCAACGAAATATGAATACAGAGTTTTTGAGCATCTTCACATTTTAAAGCGGTCAGGAAAATAGAATTTGTTTATTAGATTAAATTTTCTACCACCTTATTTAAAATGTATTGCTTTTACAACTAAAGGTGTGTTAATGTGAAGGCTTAGACTTATACTCATTTTAAGGATAAAACGGAATGGATTGCAGGGACCAGGGAGATGGCTCAGTGGAATAAGTGCTTCCCTGGCAAGCACAAGGGCCTTCAATCCCTGTTTCTGCAAAAAAATAAATAAATAAATAAATAAATAAATAAACAGAATGGATTGCAACTATAATGATGTATTTGAATATAAAAATTATATAATGCTTTAATGCTTAAAAAACAAACCTTGTGGTTAGCCACAGTGCATAGCACTTTTGCAACACAGATCATTTTATGGGTCTCAGAAAGCCTTTGACACCTTTCAGAAAAAAAATGCTTTAAGATTCACAACACTCATTAGATTACTTATAAAGCTCAATATTAAATAACAAGGTTAAATTAAATAAGTTAAAATTGTGAAACAAGAAGCCATGTGTTTAC